TCACAATGCCTGTTTTAATGACCTGGATACAAAGCATATTTTCATATTTCTGAGCCCTATCCCTTTCGGGTTTGTCACTGATGATTTTATGCTCAAACCTGTTACAACAAACTTGTTCCTCTGTTTTCATCATCTAATGTGTTGCACTGTACTCAGTCTAACATCAGTTAATATCTTGAGCATCATTTTATGGGTAAGACTCAGTGAAAGGTGATGAATCTTGTCCAAATGCGACAATGACATTTATTAGCTCTGGGAAAATAATAATTATAATAACTTAGCTCAATCTATGTATAAAATTATAGCTTAAATAGGCAAGATTTTCCATATAGTCAAAATGAAAATTATTGCTAGAAGTAATAAGAACATAGAAATTCTTAATTCTCTTTGTTATCCTGTTGGGAAAAGTGGTAATGGTACAAAATATGCAGTTCAGTTGCTTTTCTCAATTCAGTTGGAAGAGTTGTGCAATACTTAGTAAGAATAATGCTAGAGGCGCAAAAGATAACATTACACCTACAGGTAAAGTGTCTATTCTGGTAACATTAGGTGTCACCTTGGCACAGCCTAGAGTCTTATGAAGGAAGTCTTAACTGAGGGATTTCCCAGGTCACACTGGCCTCTGTCGGTGTATTCTCCTACTTTGCATTCTGTTGCTGTGATAAAGACCATAAGCAAAAACAATTTGGGAAAGGAAAGGGTTTATTTTATCTTACAGCTCCCAAGTTGTAATTCTCCATCACTGAGAGAAGTCAGGACAAGAACTCAAGGCAAGGCACTTGGGGACATAAGCTTCAACAGAGGCATCAGGAATACAGCTAACTGGCTTGCTTTCCATAGCTTCTTTAGCCTACATTTTTTTAATGAAGTTCATTGAGGCTTACAATCTCAAAGCATGAACCCATGACCATCATTGCTGGGTGCATAGCAGCAAACAGGTAGATATGGGGCTGGAGCAGTAGTTAAGAGCTTGCATCTTGAGACACAACCACAAGAAAGGGAGGTCAAGAGGGGAAGGGGGAAATTGCACTGGCTTTTTGAAACCTCAAAGCCCATGCCCAGTGACTTGCCTATGCATGAGGGTCTAGCCTACATTTTTATACCTCCCAGAAACACTTGGCCAAGAACAGCACCTACCCCCAGTAAGCTGGACCTTCTCCTGTCAATCATTAATTAGAAAAAAAATCTTTATGGAATTGCCTACAGGAAATCTGATGAAGACATTTATTTCAATTGAGATTCCTCCTCCCAAATGATTTCAGCTTTTGTTAAACTGACAAAAAAACTAAGCAAGACAGCATGTATGTAGGGGATTGCCTTTGTTGTTAATTGATGTGAGAGAATCTAGAGAATCTAGCCCGCTGTGAATGGCATTATTCCCTGAGTAGGTAATGCTGGGCTGCATAAAAAAAAAACAAAAAAAAACAAAAAAAAAACACTAGCTAAGCATGAGACTGAATAAACCAGCAAGAAACATTCTTCTGTGGTTTCTTTTTTAAACTCCTGCTTGAGTTCAGGAGTCCTTCCCTGAATCCCTCAATGATGGAATGTGACCTGGAAGTATAAGCCAGAATATATTTTCAACTCCCCTAAGTTGCTTTTGATCCTGTTGTTTGTCATAGTAGCAGAAAAGAAAACCAGACTGGTATGGAAGGTGATACTTGCTGAAGAGCTAATGAAGTAGTTGAGAGCCATGATACCCACATCTGAAAGAGTCACCAAGTCATAGAATAATAGTGACAACTTGTTGAGAGCCAAGCATTGTTCAGTGTTTGTAGATATTGTTTGTCATCTCTGTATTACATCAGGATGTATTATCTTAAGCTAAATCTGCTTGTAGGTGTTAGTTATGATCCTGATGACACAAATTAGGAAGAGTCGTGTGTCCCATAGCTAATAGCAACAGAGAAAAGCAACACATCCTATCTTAGGTATGTACTTGAAGTGAACACTGGGAAGGACTTGGAACACAGAAACTATGTCTAAGGGCCACTCCTTCTCTCTGCAGTTAAGAGTCTGGGACCTAAACTTTATAGGCTGCCATAACCACTGATAAAAGAGCCAGAACTTAAACCCAGAACTTTGCATGTAGAATTCATCATTAGCTTCCTTTGCCAATGAGAAAGCAGAGTCATCAGAGAGCCATATGTAGAGACCAGTCTTGGTGTGCTTTCCAAACTAAAACATTCTTCAGCTTCCTGCAGGCTTCAGTCACAGCGTACATTCTCCCACCGTCTCACCTCTACTTCTGAACAATCTGAGAGTTCCCTCATGTGAAATCAGGGTGTAAATTAGCCAAGAATGTTATTCAAGCTTCCTTGTAAGCTCTGCTTAAATGGTTAATAAGCCCAGCAGTTCCTATCATGGGGCGATAAGACACAGAGTCTCTATTGCTTCCTCTTCTTCTTCTTCTTCTTCTTCTTCTTCTTCTTCTTCTTCTTCTTCTTCTTCTTCTTCTTCTTCTTCTTCTTCTTCTTCTTCTTTTAAAAAGGGAAGGTCCTCAATTCCACCATCTATGTATATCTCTGTCAGTATTAAATGTATTGTTATAATAGCTGCCTATGATACTCCACCAGCATTTATGTAAAATATTTAACAGGATGAAACCAAAAATACAGGAAGCTATGACTCTGTTGGAAGTTTCTTCATCCCCTGGCTGTAGCAGATAAAGGAGAAAATAAATGGCCTTTATTAAAGACAGGATATTTTTGGGCAGTGGGAGGGTTTTACAAGAAGTAAAATTCCTGATTTTTTTCCCAATCAAATTCAAGTAGGACTGTAAGCAGCTGTCTCCACAGTGATCAGCGTCTCTACTTAAAGGAAACTGTGAAAGATGGAGTTCTGATTTGGAAATCCATACTTCATTTTATCATTTCCTTCACTACACAGACACATTTAAAGATGATGAATTGATAAGAAAGAAATACTAAACTAGCTTTTTTTTCCATCTCTATTCCTTATAAAATTTGTTATAGTATGATTAAGCGGTACTATTTAAATAATAAAATGTTAAGGACAAACAAAATTGTAGAAAAATAGATTAAACAAAATTAGACAATACCTTAATTGTGGGACTTCACTGGCTTTAACACTGTAAGTTATGATTATCGAGTAAATCAGGTTTAAGGTGTACACATGTGGCAATCTAATCAAGTTATATATGGTGTGTGTGTGTGTGTGTGTGTGTGTGTGTGTGTGTGTGTGTGTAACTCTGTTATCTGTCATGGCCATTATTCTCTTCAATTTAGAGCAGCTTTAGTTCCAACAAGAGACCCTCATAAGCCTGGGCCCCTAACATTCCCTTGTGAAAGGGAAAGAAAAACAAAGTTCAGGAGGTGGTGCATAAAGGGCTTAGAAGGAGGGACACACGGAGTTAAGGAAAGCCCAGGAGGCTCTGCTTGAGAGCCACACAGACTGCCAGGGGGGCTCAAGAGGTCATGGACAAGGGACTTGTCAGGAGAGATATAAAGGGGTGAAGGGGAGGATCACAAGCAGCTCAGAAGTCAATGTACAAGATCAAGAGGTTCCACACATTTCTAAGTACAGGTGGTTAGTGGCTGCCAGGGAGAGCCATCTTTGGTGGTGCAGCTGCTTATAAATGGCCCGTGGTCCTGTAGGCAACCTCCACCTACACTCCTGTGAGTGACCCCAGGGATGGGCCTCAGGCTGTCAAGCTTGGTGCTAAGCCATCTCACTGGCGCCCTGTGGTGGTTCTGGTTTTGGTTTTTTAAGGAATCTCCACATGAACCTCATGATGGCTACACTAATGGATTGCCCATCGAGTTCCCTTTCCCCGAATCCTCTCCAGCTTTGCTGTCACTTGTTTGGTTGGTGGTAGCGTTTGGGCTCAGGTAGTGTGGAATCTATGTGCAGTTTTGACTTTTGCTTCCTTAACGGCTAAGGATAGTCAGCATTTTTTCATGTGTTTACTGGCTTTTTCTGGAGAATTTTCTGATCAGTTCATTTGTTCATTTATTGAATTATTTGGGACAGGTTGCTGTTTACTTTCTGAGTTCCTTATGTACTCTGGATGCTAATCCCTTGTTGGGTATAAAGCTGGCAGAGATTTCCTCCCATTCTGTAACTGTCCTTCTCCTCTATTTCCTTGGCTGTTTAGAAGAATTTTAACTTCCTGTAATCTCATTTCTCAATACTTGCTGGAAATTGAAGCTTTTTTTTTTTTTTTTTTTGGAAATTTCTTGCCAATTCCTTTATCTTGAAGTGTTTCCTTCTAGCAGTTTCAAAGTTTCAGAACTTACAGTAAGGTCTTCAACCCACTTTAAATTGATTTTTAAACATTATATTTTATGGCTGAATAATTTGTTTCTTTTTCATTAATAATTGATTTTATTAATGTATGTTATATAATTATACCATATTAGATACAACATATAGAATATTTAATGCATGGTACATATATACTTTATCTTTTTTTAGTTCTAATTTTGTAAATAAAATTACTGAGTGAAAGATTAAAATGTTTTAAATGTGTGAAAGCTATTGACAAACATCTCCATATTGATTTTGTCAAGGCTTACGGATATGTTCAGGAAAATGGGGGGGAAGTACAATCTTAAGGGTCTAGAATTAGAACTCAGTGGTAGAGATGCATGTCACAAGACTCCATAAAAATTTACATAATTCCTAAAAATAGCTAATGTTCTGTGAGTCACATATTAGCCAATACATTTTTTGTGCAATTATCCATCATTTATCTTATCCAGTTACATCCTTGAGTGGTTTCCTTACAGTTTTTTCCTTCCTTCCCATCCTTTTCCCCCTAATTCCTCCTTTTTAATTCTAAGGTCACTATTTAAGGATGTTCTTGAAATGAATCCTTAATAACGCAATGTATTGCCTGTTAAAATATAGCCTAAAAGTTTATGTTTCTGCTCTGCTCCTCATCAGTGCTATAAAAAAAATAACACCAATTTTCCTTTTGCAAGATTTCTCCTTGATGACAAATGCATTAATAATTCCTTTCCCAGGCAGACTTCAAAATGTGGTGGTTTTTAGCAGCAGCATGGTGTTTGCTTCTTCCTGGACCCGTACATGGCTATCAGCAAGGGAGCATCACAAATCCAGAAGCCAATATGAACATTGTAAGTCATTCATTGAGAAAACAAAAACAAAATAACACTAAGATAAGAAATTACTAATTTCTCACTGTTTTAGGTATAATTTGTGTATCAAGAGTTTCTCTAATGACTAAATTGGGACTTTCTGTTTTAGTGCTCACCAATACTAGCTTTCCTAGAATTGAAAGCTCCAACTCACATTGGAGCAACAATCCTGGTGGGGGTTTTAAATTTTTTTTTTAAGTTGTGGTTTCCTGAAGAGGAGGTTCAGGATTTCTTTTGATGATCCCCTGTCACATACCCTTGAATTCTTTCTGGGGCTTTGTGTATGCCACCTTCATGGTTTTATTCTTTTGGGATTCAATAGGCCAAGATTGGTTTATGTACCTTTAAGGCCAAAGAATTTATTAGGGTACACAGTATATCACACGAAATAGCATAACTTAAGCATGTACTGTGTGCCTCACAGGAGCAAATGTGGAACCTTGTGATGAAGGTGGAGACTTTGCAGCTAAGCCCACTGTCTCATTAATCGAACAGTTCTCTCTTCCTAACATATTATCTTGGATAAATCACTAATTTTCCTGATCTTCGGTTTTCTCAATTCTAAAATGTTAACAGTTCTATTGCAAAGACATCTTAAAAGGATTGATGAAGTAGAGCAAATGTCTCCCCCCGTAACACTTATTTCTGTTTCTGTGCATGGCTGTGCATAGAGTAGTTTCTGCTGGCCCTTATAACCCATTTTGTGTCCCTTTATACTTTTCATTCTACCCAAAAGGTTGGCCTATAAAGGCTAGGTCTAAAGGTCCCCCAAATGTAATTTTTACATCCAATTAGCCAATGGAAATCTTGAGCAAGGGAGCAGAAAGAGAGGAGTGAGATCAAGTGTTGGGTTTCTTGTTTTTATTTTCAATTGCCCTTGCACTATCTTGCAAAGTTACCTTGGCAGCCATCTTCCTTGATGTGGTCCTTCTCTTTCCCTTCCTGGATCCTAATAATCACTTCCTTTCATATCTCTTTGGAGCCAAATTGGTAGGAGCTCACTTATCATTAGACACAAGATACCTCCCAATCTCCTGTTGTCTCCCTCATTAGGCAACTATTTATATTTCTTGTCGCCAAAACATCTTAAGAATCAACTACCGGGGTTAGTAACACTAAGCCCACAGCATATTTAGACAGCATCCTGAAGATGCTAAATGTGGAGTCACTCCATTCTTATCTTATGTTACCCTTTTGCATTCAGTCCCTTCCTGAAATATTTCCCAAGTTGTCATAATTTTTCCTGCTCTATGCTGTTGCCTGACACATAGGTTGGTGAAAGTAGATTGATAGTTGAAGGATATTGCAATGTCTACACACATAAAAAAAGCAACTGAATTACAGGTATGTATTTTCCTTCCTCCCTTTCAGAGTCAACTTATTTCTTACTGGGGCTATCCTTATGAAAAGTATGATGTTGTAACAGAGGATGGTTATATCCTTGGAACTTACCGGATTCCTCATGGCAAAGGATGTTCAAGGAAAACAGGTACCATTTACTTTGCTTTGAAGTCAAAATGCCTGAAAGAGAAATACCTAGGTGTCCTGGTAGCAGTAGGGAAGCTTCCTCTCTGCAGAAGGTTGTATTCCTTGCTATCAGAGAAGGAAAGGCACACCACCTCTACTTAATTTGCACAACTTTTAAAAATATTTTGCCATTTTTATATACACTGTTTATTTGGTCTTTCCCTTTCTCCATGTCTTTGTCTCTCCAACTACATAAATAAGTAAAAGGAAATGTATTCTCTTCCTAGTAGTAGCTCTAGAGTTTAGAAATCCATGAATCATCCTTGATGTAGTCATCTCACTGACATCCTAAATGCAGTCAGTCGCCAAGATCTATCAGTTTGCCTGCAAAATCTGTGTAGCCTGAAAACTTTTCTTAGCTTTAATGATATTCAAATCCAGGTTTGGGCATAATATCTTCCATTATAATACATGGCCATTGAGACTAACTAATGTATAATCCCATCCCCATGCAAAGCAGTGTGATTTTAATTCTTTTAAACAAGTTTGATCCTACTCACCCTGTCCTCTCACATCATCACAGAGCCTTTTCAGCTCTCTGCTGTGTGTAGGAAACAATAACGATCCATTTGGGAGAAACACTTTGCTTCTTTCAATGATAAGAAAGTTGTCATTTGTTGAATGTTGGCTGAACACCTGGCAACTTTATCATTTGAATTATTTCAGGAAAGCCTAGAAGTTTCAAGAAGATGCTTCTTCTGATTAGATTTATTTTATTTTTGTATATGAACATTCTGCCTGCATTTTTGCCCATGCACCATGTGTGCCTGGTCCTGTGGAGGCCAGAAGATGGCGCTAACAAACACCTAGGTGACATCATACATTATCTATAGTCTTCACCTTATACATGAGGAAAGTAGGACTTAGTCACACATCCAAGAGTCCCTAAAAGACTGGACCCTAGGCTTTCCTGACACAAAATTGCATCTCTTAACCATGCTTATGTGTGAAGCAATCAGAAAGCAGAGCTTGCAAGCAGGCTGAGTGAGCCGAGCAAGCAACTGTGGTTGTCTGTTTTTCAGCTCCGAAGGCAGCTGTGTATCTGCAGCATGGATTAGTTGCATCTGCCAGCAACTGGATTTGCAACTTGCCCAACAACAGCTTGGCTTTTCTTCTGGCTGATAGCGGTTATGATGTGTGGTTGGGGAACAGCCGAGGAAACACCTGGTCCAGAAAACACCTGAGATTGTCCCCTGAGTCACCTCAATATTGGGCCTTCAGGTAAGAGATGCCTGTTCCTGAAGAAGTGTTTGCTCACTTACAAGCATAAGTTCTTCTTGGTTTCCCCGTCTCTGTCCAGCACACCCAATGGAATCTACTAGAAGGAACCTAGAATTTCCTCCCCCATTCAGGCTTTCTTCTGTCTCAAAAAGAAACGCTCCAGTTACTGCATCACTGCTTGTTCCTAATGCCCCATTTCCTTCCTGATGTGACTGACATGGGGGTGGCAGGAGGAACAAGTGTATGTGTGTCCTTATCACAATGCGGCTTAGTAGCAGAGAGTTGTTCCTGGAGCCTGACATATTAGTCACAGGGGCAAGGCTTGCACTTCCTGGGGAGCTAAGAACCATGCCACCAAGATCACTTAGGCCACTGGTTCCACAGCCTCATTTCTGCATTCTTTCTGGAAGTCAGTTGACATTTCCTAAATCTTCTCAGGGATGAACAGACTATGACAGTCCCATAGAAAAATTATCAGTAGGCTTTCAAATCAGAACCTTTTTATTCCAGTTTCCTGACAGTGGTCTCATTGCAGCAAAGATGTGAAGACAGCAACCTGAAAATTTGTCCAGACACACACTGTTTTCAGTCTCCTCTCATGTCCAAAGCTGAGTATCTAGGTCTACAAGGAATACTTACAAATACTGATGGTCTAAGAACCACTTGTCTTTTCTAATTCCTTCTCTTTGGCAGTTTGGATGAGATGGCTAAATATGATCTTCCAGCCACAATAAATCTAATCTTGGAGAAAAGTGGACAGAAGGAGCTCTTCTATGTGGGCCACTCACAGGGTACCACTATAGGTGTGTTTGGGGCAGACGCAATCAGACAATGTGAAAGATTTTCTTCTGTGTTTGTGGGAGGGGTCAGGTTGTTTGTTTGTTTCTTTCTTTCTGATGGTTTGTTTTTCTCTGTAGTCTCTAGTTTCGGGACTTTGAGAAACCATTTCCTCTAGGTAGTTTCTTAACAGGAAATAAAGCAAGGATGACCACTAGAAATTTGTCCCCAACACTGGAAATATATCCCTGACACTGAATTTGGAGGTTGATAGGATTTTATTTTTGCTCTTGGCAAACAATGAGACCCCAGATTATATTCTGAGGAAACAAAGATAAACAGGAGCCCATTTTTCACTTGAATCTCTCACAGTCTGAAGAATGACACTAAAGCAAAAGCATAGAATTATGAAACTGATTATATGCTACAATCTGTGTGGCTTTTCTTGCTAGGGAGGCGAGGAGTTAAGCTGGAGAGCATGATGATAGAGCCACAGGAACCTTGGGTGTCTCACTGTTCTCCCTTGTTGAAAAAATACATATTTGAGACTACATTATCCAGATTTATTAGATTATTAAATTTAGAAATATTTTCCAAATAGTAAAAATACCAAGTAACACTTTAAGATTCATTTTTATATTTTTTCTATATAATAATTTAATGTATATGAAACTTATTATGTAGGCATGTACATATACGTATATAGTTCCATGTACATTAAACTATATACGTATATGAACATGCCTACATAATCTCATATATACATGTAACAGTCATTATCTGAAGATTCTGTCATCCTCATTTATTTATTAAAGAAACTGGGGTTGATACAAAGGAGGTAACGTTCACAATTAATGAGTTAGAAGCCAAGATGATAGCTTGGTTTTATATTGCACCAAGGTCAAGCTAGTGTGGTCTCTGGAGTTTAATATACATGCGCCAGAGAATGTGACTAACTCTCCTCTTCAACACTCTCCATACAAGCACACTTGCACTCCACAGAAAGAGCCCATGCTACCTTTGAGAAATTTAAAAATTCCTCCCCATAAATAGTACTCACAATTTCATTTTGTTTTGTTTTCAATATAGCTACCATTAGAGTGATTTGTGACGAAAAGATAACTGGAAATTTTTGTGAGCTAATGTCTTCTTTCCCTGCAGCGTTCATAGCATTCTCGACAAATCCAGAACTGGCTAAAAAGATTAAGTTGTTTTTTGCACTCGCTCCAGTGGTCACAGTAAAATACACTAGAAGTCCCATGAAAAAATTAACCACCCTTTCCAGGCAAGCTGTCAAGGTATGTGAAATCCTTGGGTTTAAAGCAGGAGGAACTGGAAGTCTCCCTGTTTCCACAGATATCAAGAAAAGATGTGTGGCATTTTTAAAACCATTCGGTGATGTAAAATGTGATCAAAGGTTCCATAAAGGTTTGATGATGGTGTGGTATCTTAGCCTGCTCAGGGAACTAGTCCTGATGCCTTCTGATCTAGTGCCATGATCTCTAACCACAGAACATCCGTCCCTCAGCATCACGTCCCAAACACAGCTAAAGTGAGACTCTACTTGATATTTCTGAGGAATCCTATTCCTGTTCCAAATTCAGTTCCTTTCGCCAACATCTTAAGTACCTGTTTCTGTAGTAGTTTTGATGAAAGGTTCTCTAACTGGAGTGTAGTAACACGCCATGGTATTGTTGTTTCCCTGGTGATGGCTGAGTGTTTCTTCTCCATACACTTGAAGATTGCTTATGCATCTTCTTTTGAGAATCATCTATTTAATTCTATCTCCCACTTCTAATCAGATTTTTGTGCTCCTGAGTCCCTTACATATTTTGAACACCAACCCCTACACATGTACAATTTACATCTGATGTGTAATGGACATGTGTCTATTCATTGTTTCCTTGGCTGTTCTGAAGCTTCCTAGTTTTACGAGATCCTATTTGACCACTTTTGCTTTTGTTTCCAATGACACAGAGATCTTATTTATTAAAAATTTCTTGATAATTCAATATCCCAAACCACTTTTCCTACACTTTCTTCTGAGAATTTCAGGTTTGGCGAACGTTGTCCATTTTTAGTTTACTTTTCTGTACAGGAAGAGGACTACCTTCAGTTTTCTGCATGTGCTCATCCAGTCTTTGCAGCAGGACTTACTGAGGAGGCTGCAGCTCTCCCAGTGTGTGTTTGTAGCTTGTTTGGCTGTCACATGTGGCTTTGTTTCTGGTCTCTCCGTTCTGTTCCATTGGCCTGTGTGTATTTGTTTTCATATCAGTGCCATGACATTTCTATCAATCCAGCTTTGTGTTACATCACTAAGTCAGGTAGTGCGTTTCCAACTTCATTCTTTTTGCTCAATATTGTTCTACCTGTCTGGGTGTCCATATGAATTTTAGGATGTGTTTCTTATTCTATGAAGATAGGACATTTATTTTGATAGGAATTGCATTTCACCTATTTTTGACAGGGTCTTTTAGTATGTGCACATGGCATGTCTACTTTTTATTGCTTTCACCCATTTTAAGGTTCTTGTTGTAGAAAGTTTTGCTGCTGATTAATTTATTCCAAAATATGTTTTTTTAATAGTTATCCTAAATGGGAGTGCTTTTTTTTATTTCCTTTTTGGATAATTTTCTGTTGGTATGTAAAAATGCTACTGATACCCACATACTGATTTTATATCCTACAATTTTGTTGAATTCATTTATTAGTTCTAGTAGTTTTGGGGTAGTCTTCGGCATTTTCTATATGTATGATCATACCACATGCAAATGGTGACAAGTTGAATTTCTTCTTTCAAAATTGTAGGCAAGGTCAGGTGTAGTGATGTATATCTATAATTCCCAAAAGTCAGGAGTCTGAAGCAGGGGAATGGTGAGTTGAAGGCCAACTTTGGCTATATAATGAATTTGAGTTCTAGTTTATATATGTATCAAAGACCTTTATCAATAAATAAAGATAGATAGTAAGTAGGTAGGCAATGCCCTTTGTTTCTTTGTTCTGCCTTATTGCTCTGGTGAAGACTTTCACTCCTGGTTTATATATTGTGATGAGTGTGACAACTTTGTCTTGTTTCAGATCCTAGAGAGCTTGCAGCTTTCCCCATTTGTGATGATACTGGCTGTGGGATTATTATGTATATATTTGATTATGTTTGGGATACACCTCTCTCATACTAATTTGTTTATATATTTTTTATAAATATTTTTTATTTTATAATTAATGTTATTTTACATATCAGCCACGGATTCCCCTGTCCTCTTCCTCCCACTCTCTAGCCTTTCCCCCCCAACCCACCCCCCATTCCCACCTCCTCCAAGGCAAGGTCTCCCCTGGAGAGTCAGCCCAGCCTGGTAGATTTAGTTGAGGCAGGTCCAGTCCCCTCCTCCCTTCACCAAGGCTGAGCAAAGTGTCTCAGCATAGGCCCTAGGTTCCAAAAAGCCAGCTCATGCACCAAGGACAGGTCCCGGTCTCACTGCCTGGGGGCCTCCTAAACAGTTCAAGCTTATCAACTGTCTCACTTATTCAGAGGGCCTGGTCCAGATCCATTGGGGCTCCTCAGTTATTGGTTCACAGTTTATATGTTTCTGCTAGTTTGGCTATTTGTCCATGTGCTTTTTCCAATCATGGTCTTGATATCTCTTGCTCATATAATCCCTACTCTCTCTCGACAGTTGGACTCCTGGAGCTTCACCTGGGCTTTGGCCGTGGATCTCTGCTTTTGCTTCCACAAGTCACTGGATGAGAGTTCTGTCATGACAGTTAGGGTGTTTGGCCATCCCATAACCAGAATAGGTCAGCTCAGGCACTCTCTTGACCATTGCCAGTAGTCTACAGTGGAGGTATCTTTGTGGATTTCTGTGAACCTCTCTAGCACTCTGCTTCTTCCTGTTCCCATGGGGTCTTCATTTATCATGGTATCTCTTTCCTTGTTTTTGCACTCTGTTCCTGATAGACCAATTACCCCTGAGGAAATAGAAATAGTCATTGAAAGTCTCCCAACCAAAAAAAGCCCAGGACCAGATGGTTTCAACACAGAATTCTACCAGATCTTCAAAGAAGAGATAATACCAATACTCTTTAAATTGTTCCACACAATAGAAACAGAAGGAAGGTTACCAAACTCCTTCTATGAGCCTACAATTACCCTGATTCCCAAGCCAAACAAAGATGCAACAAAGAGAACTACAGACTAATCTCCCTTATGAACATTGATGCAAAATTACTCAATAAAATACTGGCAAACAGACTCCAAGAACACATCAAAACAATTGTTTATAGTTTTTATAATGAGAGGAT